AACCTCCAGCCCTCTGTTCAGCCCATGCCAGGCAGACCCTGTTCTGGGTGCCAGGGCCTCTAGGCAGGACCTAGATGGGGCCAAGCCCACCATCTCAGGCTGTGTGATAGCTACTTGGTGGTGATTTAAATTTAGTTAAATACAATGAAAAATTCAGTTCCTTAGTCACTCTGTCCCTATTTAGATGTTCCAAAGCCACACATGGGTCCTGGCCACTGTATATGACTGGCAGGACATCTCCATTTACTATAGAACATTCTGGTGCACAGCACTGGTCTGGAGAGGCAGGCAGGCCTCCAGCCAGTGAATGAGTGAGGTTATTCATGGAGACAGTGGTAGGTCCTGGGAGTGAGAGAAAAAGGGGGCGACAGGAGGTCAGGAATGGGCTCTTGTGGGAAGGGACCTGAGAGATGCTATCTGAGTGGTGGAAGGGACCCAGCCAGGCAAACATCTGGGAGGAGGAGGAAGGAGCAGTAAGTGAAGATGCCCCAGTGGGGGGATGAGCTTATCCTGGGATACTCGAGGGACTCCAGGGGCACAGGGGTGTGGGCCCCAGCGGAAGGTGAGAGGTGGGCGGCCAAGGGCACGGGGAACCATAGAAGGGTTCTGAACTCTGCTGTCCAGATTGCATCTTAGAGAACCCATCACCCCATCAGCTGCTCCTTATGTGGAGACCTAGGGTGGAGGCAGGGAGTCCAGTGAGGAGGCTGCTGTGGTCCTCACAGGCTTAACAGGGCTAGCACCAGGTGACTGTGGAGGTGGACAGAAGTAGAGAGGTTGGTGGCATTTTTTGTTTTTTTTTTTTGGCAACAGCTTTATTGAGATATAATTCATGCCCCATACAATTTGCCCATTTAAAATACACAATTCAGTGGTTTTTACTGTATTCAAAGAGTAATGCAACCATCATGACTCTCAATTTTATTTTATTTTATTTTTTTTGAGAAAGGGTCTCACTCTTGTCACCCAGGCTGGAGGGCAGTGGCACGATACGACTCTCAATTTTAGAATATCTGTTTCATTGTTGAGACGGAGTCTTGCTCTGTTGCCCAGGCTGGAGTGCAGTGGCAAGATCTTGGCTCACTGCAACCTCTGCCTCCTGGGCTTAAGCAATTCTCCTGCCTCAGCCTCCTAAAGTGACTGGGATTACAAGGTGCATACATGCCTGGCTATTTTTTTTTTTTTTTTTTGAGACGGAGTCTTGCTCAAATCACCAGGCTGGAGTGCAGTGGCAAGATCTTGGCTCACTGCAACCTCTGCCTCCTGGGCTCAAGCAATTCTCCTGCCTCAGCCTCCTAAGTAGCTGGGATTACAGGTGCACGCCACCATGCCTGGCTATTTTTTTTTTTTTTTTTTTGAGACGGAGTCTTTTTTTTTTTTTTTTGAGACGGAGTCTTGCTCTATCACCAGGCTGGAGTGCAGTGGCGTGATCTTGGCTCACTGCAACCTCTGCCTCCTGGGTTCAAGCAATCCTCCTGCCTCAGCCTCCCGAGTAGCTGGGACTACAGGCATGCACCATCGGACCCAACTAATTTTTGTATTTTTAGTAGAGACAGGGTTTCACCATGTTGGCCAGGATGGTCTTGATCTCTTGACCTCGTGATCCACCCGCCTCAGCCTCCCAAAGTGCTGGGATTACAGGCGTGAGACACTGTGCCCGATGCCTGGCTAATTTTTTTGTATTTTTGGTAAAGATAGGGTTTCAGCATGTTGGCCAGGCTGGTCTTGAACTCCTGACCTGAAATGATCCGCCTGCCTCGGCCTCCCAAAGTGCAATTTTAGAATATCTTTATCACTGCCCTCCAGAAAACCCTGTACCCAGCGAGCAGTCACTCCAGATTCCCCGCCTTACCCTCCAGTCCTGGGCAGTCACTCATCTACTCTCTGACTCTGAGAGATTTGCCTATTCTGGATATTTCATATAAATGGAATCATACAGTATGTTGTCTTGTGACTGACTTCTTCCATTTAGTGTGATGTTTTCAAGACTCAACCATATCATAAACTGGATCAGGACTTTACTCCTTTTTTCTGCCTGAATAATATTCCATTGTTTGGGTAGACCTTATTTTATCTCTCCATTTGTCTGTTGATGGGCATTTTGGTTGCTTCTACTTTTGACTCTTAAGAATAGTGCTGCTATGAACATTCATATACAAGTTTTTGTGCAAAGGTATGTTTTCATTTCTTTGAATATATACTGAGGAGTGGAATTGCTGGGTCATATGGTAACTTTAGTTTTCACTTTTGAGGAACTGTTAGACTGTGTTCCAAAGCAGCTGCACCATTTTACATTCCCCCCAGCAGTGCGTGAGGGTTCTAGTTTCTCTGGATCTTCACCAACAGTTCTTATTGTCTTTTTTTTTTTTTTTGAGACAGAGTCTCACTCTGTCGCCCAGGCTGGAGTGCACTGGTGCGATCTTGGCTCACTGCAAGCTCTGCCTCCTGGGTTTACACCATTCTCCTGCCTCAGCCTCCTGAGTAGCTGGGACTACAGGTGCCCACCTCCACACCCAGCTAATTTTTTGTATTTTTAGTAGAGATGGGGTTTCAGCATGTTAGCCAGGATGGTCTCGATCTCCCGACCTCGTGATCTGCCCACCTCGGCTTCCTGACATGCTGGGATTACAGGTGTGAGCTACCGCGCCCAGTCTATTGTCTGTGTTTTTTATGATAGCCGTCCTAGTAGGTTGGACCCAAAGTGGTATCTCATTGTGGTTTTGATTTCCATTTCCCTGGTGGTTAATAATGTTGAACATCTTTTCTTATGCTCGTTGGCCATTTGTATACATTCTTTGGAATGATGCCTATTCAGATTCTTTTTGAGTTGTTATTGTTCTTTATATATTCTGGATACGAGTGCTTTATCAGACATACGATTTGCAGATGTTTTCTCCCATTTTGTGGGTTTTCTTTTCCCTTTCTTTTTTTTTTTGAGACGGAGTCTCGTTCTGTTGCCCAGGCTGGAGTGCAGTGGCGTCATCTTGGCTCACAGCAACCTCCACCTCCTGGATTCAAGCAATTCACCTGCCTCAGCCTCCCGAGTTGCAAGGATTACAGGCTTGTGCCACCTCGCCCAGCTGATTTTTGTATTTTTAGTAGAAATGGGGTTTCATCATGTTGCCCAGGCTGGTCTTGAACTCCTGACCTCAAGTGATCCACCTGCCTTGGCCTCCCAAAGTGCTGGGATTACAGGCGTGAGCCACCACCACCATGCCCGGCCTCTTTTCCGTGTTTTTTTTTTTTTTTTTTTTTTTTTTAGATGGTGTCTTACTCTATTGCCCAGGCTGGAGTGCAGTGGCGTGATCTCAGCTCACTGCAACCTCTACCTCTCGGGTTCAAGCTATTCTCCTGCCTCAGCCTTCCAAGTAGCTGGGATTATAGGGGTCTGCCACCATGCCTGGCTAATTTTTGTGTTTTTAGTAGAGATGGGGTTTCGCTATGTTGGCCAGGCTGGTCTCAAACTCCTGACCTCAGGTGATCCACCTGCCTCGGTCTCCCAAAGTGCTGGGATTACAGGCATGAGCCACTGCGCCTGGCCTTCCCTTTCTTAATGGCACCCTTTAAAGCACAAAAGTTTTTAATTTGGAAGAAGTCTATTTTATCTATTCTACTTTTGTTGTTTATGCTTTTGGTATCATATATAAGAAACCACTGCCTAAACCTAGGTCTTGAAGATTTACACCTATATTTTCTTCTAAGAGTTTTCTAGCTTTAGCTCTTACCTTTAGGCCTTTGATCTATTTCAAGTTGATTTTGGTACATAGGATGTCAGATCTGTAGCATGTTTTGCAGGTAGAGTCTCAGCTTTGCTGATGGGGTGAAGAAAAGTGGGAGAGAATGGGGAGGAGAATGGAGGGCAACCCGAGGGTCTTGGCCTCCCCAGCTGGGGGATGGATGGGCAAAGTGGGGGAAGAGCAACTGTGGAGAGATGGAATCAAGAGGCGTGTTTTGAGCACGTGGATCTGAGGTGAGTGTGAGCTTCCAAGAGATGTTGAGTGAGCAGTGGGATCTCCAAGTCGAGTTCCAACACCGAGAAGCAGAATTGGCAGGCATCTGGGTGTAGATGGCATTTATTTAAAGCCATGGGGGGCGTGAAGAGAGATCCCAGAGGGAATGATGTAGCAAAAGGAGAAAAGGCTCTGCGGCTGGCCTGAGACATGTGGGGATACTGATCAAAAACAGCCAGGGGGTTAGGAGGAAAGCCAGAGGGTCTCTGAAGGCATCCAGAAAAGAGGCTGTGAGGGAAGGGATTAGAAATTTAGTCTTGCTCTTCCTGGTGCTGTGTGTTCTTAAGCAGGTCCCTCCCATCTCTGGGTCTTTCTTTCCTTGTCCACGCAGGGAGAGTGTGAAGCGTATAAAATATGCATCCTGGAGTCCTGGCCTGTGAATGTTTCCCCTATATATAACTAAGTGGAAAAAAACAGCAGGATTCCAAGTAGATGTACTGGAGGTGCTGTGCTGTGCATGCACCGTTTCTCTGTGCCTGTGCATGTGTGTTTGGGTGCATAAAGAGATGATTAAAATAAGGTCACCAAGAATGACCACTGGCAGTAATGAGGCCGGCCAGCATTTATGGAGGGCTCCCCAGATGCCAGGTATGGAGGAGGCTAGCTAGGGTAAGCCAAGCCAGGTGCCCAGGACTTGTGCACGTCTGCCCCCTGGTGGCTATACTGCGTCATGTACATTCCAAATGCTGTTTCTTAGCCCCTAGAAACTGGGTGCTGTTATCATGGTTCCTTTCCCAGATAGTTGAGGCTCAGAGAGAGATTAAGGCACCCACCTGAGGTCACACAGTTATTAAACGGCTGAGGCTGGGCCATTTGAACCCAGAGCTACTGCCCTACATGTTACCTCTGATCATTAAGGTGGGGGATTTCTGGGGGTTTAATTTTCTTCTTTGCGCTTTTTGGTACACAGTGGACTCTTGGCATAATATATTTTTTCCTGTAAATGAGAAGGCTCCCAGTAAAGTCCTTTTCTTGTGCTCTGTGTCTCAGGTGCTGCCACGGGACCTGGAGAAGGAGGATGCCCCCCAGGAGAAGGAGCGACCGCTCCAGCAGGTGTCCCCTGTGGCCTCGGTTCCCCGGAGAAGCCACAGCTTCTGTAAGGACAGGAGGAGCGGTCCCTTTGTGGTGAGTGATACCACACGGCTGGAGAGGATTGCACAGGGGGTGCTGGTTGCTGGACACTGCCGTGAATGTGGTTTTTGGAGCATCCGGACAGCCCAGGGCCCTGATGGGGTTGAGGGTAGCAGGCAAATGTCCAGGAATCTGCTGTCACCTGACTAGCTGTGTCGTGGTTCTTGATGTGGAGGGTGTTTGGTGGCTCTGCTGGGGAAACCTTCTTCCTCTTGAGTTTCCAGCCCAGCAATACCTGGCATGGAGTGGTTAAGGGAACGTACACTGGTGTTGGAAAGTCCTGGGTTCAAATCCCAGCACTGTCTCCTGTCAACCTCTTTGAGATTTCGAGTAATTTACTTAGTTTTGCTGCACTTCAATTTCTTTACCTGGAAAACAGGATGTTGATTCCTCCTTCTCTAACTCTGTTGTGAGGATGGAATAAAAGTGTGTGTGGGGCCCAGCACGTCATAAGGTACTTAGGAACTGACAGTCATGGTGGTAACAGGAGGCAGCAGAAAGCTGGTTCCAGAGCCAATTGCCTGGGTTCAAGTCCTGGATCTGCATACATCCATGTGTGACCTTGGGCTGACCTCTGGCTTCAGTTTCCTCATCTGTAGAATGGGGATAATGATAGTATCTACTTTACAGGGTGGATGTGGGGCTCAGAAGAGAGAACACATGAAGTGCTTAGCATGCTTCTGGGTACATAGCAAACAATAAGCGTCATCGTCACATAATTATTACTGTTGCTGTTACTGGTATGATTGTCCTTGTTTTCACGTCTCCCTCTGGCTTTTGCTTATCTCTGTGTCCTTGTGCCCTCTTCCCCCTCATCCTGTTTCCTTACTTGTGAAAGGAGATGAGTATACACTGAGCAGGCCCCAGGGGCAGCTGCCCCCTCCAGAGCCTCAGTGTACCCACATGGGTTCCAGGACTTCGCCACCTTCATTGAGTTTCTTTTCTGACTTTAGTTCCATGCTGTTTGGAGTTTTGCACTTGCTCATAAAGCCCCTTCCCGGCCCAGGTCCTATACAGGGGCATCAAAGACAGGGCTCCTAAGGCAGCGATGCTTCTGCTCACAAGGGCCTCTTTGGTTGCTCAGCTCCATAAGCTTCAGGGAGACCTAGGTCTGGTCTCACGTTTTGGAGACATACGATTTTGCACTGAAGCTCCATTGAGAGTCCATCCCTTCCAGTTTTATGGCCACGGGCAAGAAACTTTGCTTCTCTGAACCTCAGTTTCCATTTCTGTAAAATGGGGGTGAAGAAGGTACCCTGGCATAGTTCGTGCTAGGAGCGATGCAGAATAGCCACAACATGTGCCCGACCATGGGGCTGGGGGAGACGGGCCGAGGAGGAACTCGGATCCCAGCTAGGTGTTTACTGAGCAGCCCGGGAATTTTCCTCGAGGATCCAGATCCTAGCCAAAGATTCACACACATTTGAAACCTGCCTGGATTTTCTGATAAACATTCCCTTCCATTGTCTTCTTTCTCAGCCATTTCTCCAGTCCCTCTCAGATAGCTCTGACTTAGCTTATCTGATTGTACTTGAACTTTTGTGTGTGTGTGTGTGTGTGTGTGTGCGCGCGCGCGCAGACAAAGGTGATGGGGAAAGAAGCATTTTAAACCTGTCTTTTTAGAGTCTCTGCTTGCTGGCATCCTCCTTGGTCGTCTGGCTCCTCCTTTTTCACTCTCTGTCATTGAAGAGCTTTTGTCCTTGGAGTCCTCAGGCAGCTTGCCTTGGCTCTATCCTTCTGGTCTCTGAGGCCCCTGCCCCACTCTTGCCTGCTTGATTTCCTCTCCTCCAGAGGTAGGTGGATGGAGGCACTTAGCATGAACCGGAGAGTGCTGGGGCCTCAGACCTCATTTCACTGCTTCTGGGACTCATACCTGCAATTCTGGGGAGTGGCCACAAGGAGGAGGTGGTGTTCAGCTCCTACCCTGGTGGCTCCAACAGCCCATCCCAGAGGGACCTTTTAGTAATGGGCTCTGGAGGCTGAAAGAAGTGGCTTTACGTTCCAACTCTGCCACTGTGACCTTGGGCAGGTGACTTCATGGACCTCACTAAATACCAGTTTTTTCTTCTGTAAGATAAGGATAGTTCTCTATGACCTCAAGAGTATTTTTGTGAGTAGTAAATGAGATCACTCAGCACATAGTAAATTCTTAATGTCTCAGCTGCAGTGGTAGCTTTTCCTTCTTTCTCCCTCTTTCCTTCCTCCTTTCCTGATCCTTTCCATCTCTTCTACTTTCCCTTCCCTTTCTCTTCCTCCTCCTCCCCTTCTTCTCCTCTTCCTTTTTTTTCTCACCTGTCCAATTCTTTTTATAAAAGGGGAAAGTAAGGCCAGGAGAGAGGACCTGACTTAACCAGGGTGACCCAGCAGAGGAGGGCTGGGGTCCTGAGCCCCTGGTGGCTGTCTCTGCTCCTCTGGAAATTGGTCATACATGCATTTTGTGTCTCATGAGGTGTTTTAAGAGATTCACTGTGTCTGCTACGATTCCCATCACTGCTTTGATGAATGACTTTGTGCTGTTGTTTTCCCGTTTAAGTTCACGTTCATCTTCATTTTTTAGCCTCTCAGGCCTTGTCAATTCCTACTTCAGCCTCATATTAGAGACCATGAATCCTATTTTGCAGAGCAGGAAAGTGAGGCTCAGAGGGGTTCAACCCCTTGCCCAAGGCCACACAGTTAGCAGCTGGGGGAGCTGGAATGGAAAAGGGGCCTATCTTGCTCCAGCCTTGGCCCCAGGCCCTTCCCGCCATGGGCCTGTGGTTTTGGCCTGTGGCCAACCCCTGCCAGCCCCTGCCAGCTCCTCTCTCCCCTGGGCCTGCAGCACTCCGTGCATTAGCTGCATGAGGAAACAAGACACCCTGAGCCCTGGGACTCCTCCTGGAGCTGAGAATGTGATATTTGCTCAGCCTGGGGTTAGCCATCAGCTGCTCTATTGCTGCTGTCTTCCAGAGGGTGCCTGGGACCTGCCAGGCTGATACCCTGCTGATTTGCATAGCCCTGCCCACGGTTGCTGAACTGCAGACCCTGCCACTTGCTAGAGGCCTTGAGCAAGTGAGTTTACCACTTGAGGCCTCACTTTTCCTCCTCTATAAAGTGGATAATGATAGCAATAACAAAGCCTAACACTTACTATCCTTACATGTAGTGTAGATACTACTATTGTTTCCGCTTCACAGATGGGCAAACTGAGTCTCAGAGCCATTAAGTGTCTCTTCCAAGTTCTGGGTCTGCAGTCCATGCTCTTAAGTGTCTGCTGAACTTTCCACTCCTCTTGCATGGTAGCCCGGTGGGAGGACAGAGCCCAAATGAGATGATGCTTACAAAGCTCTTAGCACAGTGCCTGACAACGAGAAATGGCTTAGTAAATCATAGCGGCTATTATTATTATTTGAGATGGAGTCTTGCTCTGCCGCCCAGGCTGGAGTGCAGTGGCACAATCTTGATTCACTGCAGCCTCTGCCTCCTGGGTTCAAGTGATTCTCATGCCTCAGCCTCCCGAGTAACTGGGACTACAGGCGTGCACCACCACGCCTGGCTAATTTTTGTATTTTTAGTAGAGATAGGGTTTGCCATGTTGGCCAGGCTGGTCTGAAACACCTGATCTCAAGTTTTCCACCAGCCTTGGTTTCCCAAAGTGCTGAGATTACAGACGTGAGCCACCACACCCGGCCTGTTATTATTTTATTACTATTTGCTGCCAGTTTTTTTTTTTTTTTTCTGTGCTCTCCCGAAGAGCCGATGGGAAAGACAAACATCCATAGCCTTAGAAGTTTTTCTGCAGTTGAGGAAACAGCCCTAGCGCAGGGAAGTGTCTTGTGTATGGTCCTGTGGCCTCCAGAGGCAGAGCTGGGGCTGGAGTTCAGTCTTTGTGACTCCTTGGCCAGTGCTCACCATTTCTTCCCATCTCCTTTGTTCCTTTCAGGGTTCCCCTCAGGACCTCGAGTCCACATGGCGAATCCAAGTCCTGTGTCAGGCCTCCTCCCTGCTCTTTTCCCCAGGAAGTGAGCTTTGGTCTGCATTTTCGCAGGAAACATAAAACACAGTGACTCAGTTGTGGACCGTGACCTTGAGTCACAGTTAACCATGGAGGCCCATCTTGTGACAATGAAGTCACAGATTCACCAGCTGGGAGGCTTCCCTGCAATGGACCAGGGGGAGAGCCTCTGGCAGTCTCTAGAATTTTCTCCCAATCCCCCAAACCTATTGGTCAGCATATGCTGGCTCATTTAGTCTTGAGTTTATTTCTTTTTGGACCTACTATGCGCCAGGCCCTGCATGATGGGGCCTGGAGATTTTCTCCGTCAGCCTCCGAAGATGACCTGGGAGGGTCCAGTCAGGTGCGGGAAGTAGGAGGAGAGACATTTGGGACTGAGAACTCACACAGGCAAAGCGGGGTGCTTGGGGGACACTGGAGAGACCAGTTGGGCTGAGGTAGTGTTTAGGGATTTTGGTCCTTTTTTTGACAAGTATTTGTCTGCATGTGGTAAGTGCTATGCTGGGCAGTGGGCTACAGTTATGACCAAGGCATAGACAATTAAGAAGGTAGATAAATAGGCCAGTTGCAGTGGCTCATGCCTTTAATTCCAGCAGTTGGGGAGGCCGAGGTGGGCGGATCACAAGGTCAGGAGTTCGAGACCAGCCTGGGCAACATGGTGAAACCCTGTTTCTACTAAAATACAAAAAAAAAAAAAAAAAAAAAAAAATTAGATGGGCATGGTGGTGCGTGCCTGTAATCCCAGCTACTCGGGAGGCTGAGGCAGGAGAATCACTTGATCCCAGCTACTCAGGAGTCTGAGGCGGGAAAATCGCTTGAACCGGGAAGGCGGAGGTTATAGTGAGCTGAGTTCGCACCACTGCACTCCAACCTGGGCAACAGAGTGAGGCTCCATCTCAAAAAAAGAAGGTAGGGGCCAGGCACAGTGGCTCATGCCTGTAATCCCAGCACTTTGGGAGGCCGAGGTAGGTAGATCACAAGGTCAGGAGATTGAGACCATCCT